TGTGTGTGTGTGTGTGTGTGTGTGTGTGTGTGTGTGTGTGTTGTGTGTGTGTGTGTGTGTGTGTGTGTGTGTGTGTGTGTGTGTGTGTGTGTGTGTGTGTGTGTGTGTGTGTGTGTGTGTGTGTGTGTGTGCGTGCGTGTGTGCCGCCCGACCTTGTCCGACAGCTTTCGGAAGGAGGCTGGCCAGCCGCATGAGATGGCGGCGTCGGAGATGTAGACGTTGGTGAGGGTGTTGACGAGCGCGCTGCCCACGATCAGCGCAAAGCCCGGCACGAAGCCAGCAAAGGAGAGCGAGCGCGGCAGCGCGAGGATGCCGGTGCCGAGCACAGTGTTTGCGAGGTTGACGGCCGAAGAAAAGATGGACGCGGAGCCCTCCGGGCCAGACGGCTTTTCAATGTCGAGGAACGAGGTGATCCGCTCGCTGAGCTTGGGCGGTTCCATGCGGACGGAGGCATCGCGCGCGCTCTTCGTCGTGACGCGCCGAGCCTCAGATATCTGTACCCTCCGCGGCTGCTCCGACCGCGGCAGCGCCGCCCAAGGCAGGAGCAGCGTCGCAAGCCGCTTGCACCTCGATACGCGCGGCGCACCCTGGATAGCCTCTAGCTGGGCGAGACGCGCCTCGAGGCGCGCGATGCGAGCATCCTGGTCCGTGGCGAAGGAGCTCGAGGTGTCCATCGGCGCAGGGCGACAGGGTTGGTCTGTGAGACTGCTGCTGTCGAGTTGCTCCCCCTCTGTCGCGGGGGGCGAAACGAGGCTGATGCGGTCTGTGATGAGGAGACCTCGAGAGAGATGATGCGTGTGTGTGTGTGTGTGTTTCACTCACTCACTGCAACGCGACAACGGCTTCATCATCTTCATCATCCTCGACATCCATCGCCGGTGCGGCGGCCAGCGAGGCCGCGGCGGCGGCGCCGGCGTTGACCAAGAGCGCTAGGAAGCGGCTCAAGGAGAAGGCAAGGAAGGGGCGTCGCGCTGCAGAGGCGGCGGGCGAGCCGGAGGTGGCACCATCGCCGGCGCCGCCGCCGGTGTTCAAGACGCTCAGGGAGAAGAAGTCGGCTCAGGCGTCGGCGGAGGGCTGGGCGGCGGAGGTGGCGAGGGCCGAGGAGCTCTACGAGGAGCTGCGCGAGCGCGCGCCCCAGCACTGCCGCCGTGGCGGCAAGTGGGCGCGCGAGAAGTTCGTGATGGCGGTGCAGGGAGAGTTCCCACGCGCGCGAGGGGCAGGCGTTCCCAAGGGGACGATCCTGTGCCTCGGCAGGGTGCTCGAAGCGCACGATGAGCAGGACGACGCGGAGGGTGGGCGCCGGGACTGGGAGGAGGACCCGCTCGGGTTCGACACCAACCCGGGGCTGCTCCGCGCCATGTGCATGGCGTTCGAGTGAACGCCGTGCAGGCAGCCCGTGCCTTTTGGTGTACCCCGTTTGTGCCGCGTCCTGTGCCCCCGAGTTCATTTTATATCATCACACACAGATGATGCGTCCGGGGCGGCTTTCAAGTGGAAGTGGAACATAGACGGAGGAGGGTATCAACCACCCTGCACCACGGCTTGCCGTGTTTGTTGTATGTACGCAGTGCCAGTGGGCTCTGGCACGAACGAAACTGGTATCCCGAGAGTTTACAAACGCTCTCTCATATGACCCCCCTTGCCCTCCCTCCCTCCGTCCGTCCCTCCCCTTCGCCACCCCCCAAAAGAAAACGGTTCTCCTCGCGGCATCAGCCAAGTCGGGCTCGATCTGGTAGCCAACCACTGCAAGGACATGGCAGGGAGGGAGGGCTCTCGGCTTCGCGGCAGCGAATTTACGTCCTCAAAGTCGTCCCTGGAATCCAATGTCCGTACGTTAAAGGAGAGACGTACGTACAAACAAGACGTACGTACAAACTTTTCACCCAGTAGGTACTTTTTTGCTACGTCAAGTCACAGCGTGGCCACTACCATGATGGGATCTTCACCAAACGAAACAAGTTCAACCTGCTTCTCCACGAGACATTCGGCGGCGGCTTCTCGCCGCCTGCAGTTGCAAAGACCAACCGCCTTGCGCGCAAGGCTCAACGCTCGGGCGTTGACCGCACCGCGCACCCTGAGGGCCCAACTTGAGAATCGTGCTGTGAGTTGGGTTGTTTCGTGTTGGGTTGGGTTGTGGTTGGGTTGGGTTGTTCCGCGTGAGGTTGGGTCGTCGGCGCGAAGGGTGAGGTCTCGACCGCCGCCGCTCACGCCAGCGGACGGCCACTGCCGGTGTTTTTGGCTTCGCCACCGTCCAAGGCGTGCGCCATGCGCTCGCCGGCATCGAGCGAGCAACGTGATCGACCGAGCGGCTTGCTGTGTGGCCGCCTTCTTGTGGCTCTCGTCGAGAGCGTTTTGCGTCCCGGCGGGTGGGAGAATGTGTGTCGTCTGAAGTGTCACTGTGTGCGTCACATCGATGTGGATAACAAGCACGGTCGATCCGTCAAAGCGATACACTCGTTCCTATCACGCTGGAAGGCTTGCACGGAGCTCTGTGCCGGCACACAGAAGAGCCGTGCGGCAAGAAGAGCTCGATGGGGAGCGAGAACCGTCAGATTTTCAGGTGTAGCCTGAAGTCCGTCGCGACGCACTCAATCCCTCCCGAGCGAAAGCCTGTGGCTCTCTCGAACTCGTCGATATATTGCGAATAAACTGCTCTTCCCGCATAGCTTGCAGAGTCAGAGGCGCAGAAAGGCTACGAGTGTTCGACGAGTCTTGCGAGCTGCGCGGTCAAACCTTGGGGGAACTGACCGCATCAAGGC